GATTTCGGATTCGATTCTATGCATACGGCAGCAGCAACGAACGGTGGTGCTGGCGAGAAGCGGTATTGCAAAGGAAAGGACGAGCGATGTTTACATCCAAAAATACATACTCTGTGTGTACATGTGTAAATGCTTCCATGAACGAGACGCAACAGAGAGCCGACCGGATATCTTGGTGTTACTATTCAGAAGAACACTATTTCGAGATCATGTTCTATAAATATCAGTTCTTGGGGAAAGTCATACTTCTCCGATACTAAACGCCCACTGGAAAAAGCGGGAGATACGGAAACTATTTACATAAATAACACAACACAACACCCCCAGAATGGGACAAGTGCCCGATCGTATTGCGCGCGGACGTATCTACATGTGTGTGTGCCGTACATCACCTAAAGCGTGCGCCCCCACGGTACACGCAAAAGAGTGCAGTATAAATAAAAGGGCGCCTGGTCATGTGTGGAAGTTGAACAAAACATACAAAAACACCAAAGAGAAACATGAGCAGCCAATCCACACAAACAAGGGTATAAACCACGGAGGAAAAAAAACAAGGCCGGCAGAAAGGTCCGAAGGCGTTGCAGACTGCAGTCTGACTGCCTTTCTTTCCCGACGGGGTGGTGAACTGACATATGCATACGTTCAGTTGCTCACCAGGGAGTCTCCGGCGGGGGTGTAAGCTGGTTCTTCCCCTCCTCATGCAGCCGCTTTTCGGCGGCAGCCTTGGTCATGCCCTGTCGCCAGCCATGTATCGTTTTCAAGTGAGTTTTGGTTGGTGGGACGCCCGACACCTCGGGACCAAGAAGACCGAGCACGTCGAGATCTAGAAAGAAAAATAATTGAGCTGTTGGTGACGCAAGGTTTTTGAACCGGTCGAGCAAAAACCGGAGACGCCTGCGGCAGCGGCACCGTGCAGAAGCATGGGCGGTTCTGCTGTGTGTCGAAAGGGGTGGCGACACCCCGGTGCGCACGCGAGCGTGCCGGGGCTCTGCGCCACGCTCCGTAGTCGTTGTCTCCCGAAAAGGATGCGGAACCGAGAGGGTGGTGGATGCTGGCAGAACACAAAAAATGTACACACAAAAGTGAAACGTTGGAAATGCGAGCTGTTCGCCTTGTGGAACCTGGCAAGCTGCAACACACGCTTGCGGATCTACTGCTGTGCCCCGACGGGTGCTGCCACTTGCTGCCACGCGGAACGGCGTGGCAGACGGGTGGCAACTGTGTCTAGACGCGGGGACGGGCTGTCTAGTCCAACTAAGAAGGCTGAGCTAACGACAGCAGTTGCCGAGCAAGCCGCTTCCGCACAAGCCCGGTTTTGCTGACGCGCACACCCGTGTCTGTTCCCGGCAACATCAACATGTGCTCGTAGGCGCTGCTTTACAAGGTGGCTGACACCAACACCACGACTACACTCAAGCTGCAAAAGGCACATCCCTTCGGTCATGGCACTACGCCCTCTCGAGAACGCCAAAAACGGACCTGGGTGGCATGAGTGCCGAGAGAGCTCAGGAGGGCATCAAGGTCCGTTTTATGATCTTCGGTCGTGTAGTTGGACTTGAGGTCCTTCTTCTCATCAGCGTTGGCCTGCTTCGTCTTGAACATGCCCATGGTGGAGCCGGACCCCTGCTTGCCCAAGAGAGGCTTCGTGCACAAGCGCCTTGCTGCGCTCTCTCTCTCTCGTTCGGAAGCGCCTCGGCAGCGCTCGGGAATGACAGCCGGGGGTGCCTATACATCAAAGAGAATAACCGATTTTGCCCGTCCCGGGGCTCCGCGGATTTTATACACCAAAAAACATGGACCAAAATATCGCAAAACGGAAAACACTCAAAAAGAAATGCGGTCCGCAGAGGTCGGCCGACTGAAAGTGAGTGTGGAACAATCCGCGTGTCGCAGCGATCTAAGGAAGTGAATCTTGCACTTCCGGCATCTCGAAAAGCAGGTGTTCTTGTTGGAAGATTAGATTATTTGTATGTGCGTCGAGCAGGTTCTTTTTCAAGTGCGTGGTTTTGGGGGATGAAAGGGTACTATTAAGCTGTATCGTGGATGTGGTCAGGCAGCAGCACAGCAGCCGCAGCAGACGCCCAGTTTTGCGATCACTTAGAGAAAGAGATAGACATGCGTGGGAGAGAGGGAGTATGGCATGAAAGCGTGATGCAGCCCCTATGGATGTGTCGTTTCCTTTCGCGTGCATGGCGGAGGGCGTTCATATTATATATGTAGACTACACGATGATATCATCATGCATCACGCAGATCGAACATACATACATGGAGCCGGTCGCTGGTTGGTGACCTCAAAACCTTCCAGAGGTCAGGTCAGGGGTTCGAATCCCAGCGTAAGCGAGCTTCTCTTTCAAAGTGAGTTTTGCTCTTGCTCCCGCTCCCGGCCTAGTAGGTAGCGCTAGTTTTTGTATGTACACAGAGGGAATAGAGTGCTGCAATCTTCTCGCATTAAAAATCGAAGGCAACGTACAGCAGGACGGGAGGAGTGTCGAGAGGGGCTATTCTTTGTGACCACGGGTTGGAGTAAGCGGCACTAGTGCTGTGAGCACTGATTTGACGTGAACGCAAAAAAAAAAACATGTAATGGATTCGCCGCCCCCCCCTTCTTCTTGTTTTTTTATTTCCTCAATGCAGTATCACACAACAAATCCATGTCTATGTTTGTTTTTTTTTCTTAATATGACACAACGAGTTCCATCTCTATCATAGAAAAGAGTTTTTTACTTCCTCCTCTCTTCCAGCTGCCTTCTTCCAGCTGCTTTCTTCGAAGAAATTGTTTTTTCGTGCGCGCATGCAAGCAAGCTCACAGCAGCAGCAGGCTTTCTTCTATTTCTTCCACGGATGTATCCGGAGTTTTTCCTCACTCACGTACTTCGGTGTGAGCCTTGAACCACCCCGCCAGCAGCAGCAGCAGCAACAGCAACAGCAGCAGCAGCCGTTACACACACACCGCGCACTACTGCCGAAATAAATGTGTGAGAAACATTGAAGAGTGTACCATCATCTACCGCGAGGTGCGTCATCGCACACAACCCCCTCCCTGTCTGTAGATTAGTGCGCATAGATCAAATACAAATGTAGACCGACTTTTTTCTCGCTCCACGACCACAGCAGTTTGTCAAAAATGCCGAAAGAGCGTGGTCTTCGAACGAAAGATAATAAATAGGTTAGATCTTGTTGGGAGCTTACCTTGTCGCGTGAAAAAACTGAAAACAAACTACAAGTAGTCTAGTCTAGTCTACATACGGAGGAACGAAGGAGTGATGACGCCGCATTTCGCGGCAAACGGGGCACGTCCACCAAGAGAAGCAAGACAGCAGGATATCATGGATCGTAATGCCATACCCATCCAGTCACAAACTTACGTATATTTACGTGCGTTCGCGACTTGCCACATTCAACTACTCCTTTGCAACGCGACGACGGTGGTTGCCACGATCACTATTCTACCAGGCAGGCCGAAGTGACATTTATTTTTTTGTGAAAACGACATTCGGATGCCAAGCCTCTATTAATAGGGTACTGCTGCATGTTGTGATAGAAACTACAGCCAATACAACCCTCGCTTGCACGTGACACAGCGATGCTCAAAAGGGGGCATATTTCTCCCCCCCCCACCGCGCACAAGTAATGCAGCCGTGAGGGCAGAATTGGGGATCCAATCCCTACGGTCGGGAAGAGACGCGAGGAAGCTGACATGGCAGTACCGCATGTGCGGGATGGGAGAGGAGCGGTTGCCAAGAATTGTATGGGAGGCGAAGTGGGCAAACAAAAAGAGGGGTAGACAACCCACGGAATGGGTCAAGGTTGTAGAGGACGTATGCAAGGGGCTCGACATCGACGAAGATGAAACGCTGGAAACGGAGGGTCTACAGGGGTTCAAGGAAAAGATATCTGTTGCTTGTGCCGAGAGAGGAGAACAGAGTCTAAGGAAAGAATCCAAGGATAAGGAGGGTCTAGAAGTGTACGGAATGTTGAAGGAAGGAATAGGGTTCAAGG